CTCTTTCCAGCGATAAGCACTAATGGCACACACACACATATATACCGTATATATATATACAGTATATACATCCATCAAGACATAATCATCTCGTTGATAAAAGCAGGCTTCTACGCGGTACAAAAAAAATATATGTGGGATAAGGCAGGGATAAAATCATTTGCCAGCGGAACACCGGGCCCACGGGAGCCTCTCGTCGGAATATTGAGTCAACAGGAACCGACCTCATTCGCGACACCCGAGCCTGGATTGGTTAGGAATGATGGACAGAAATCCCCAGGAAAATGACTCGGGTTATGCATGAACTCAGGAAGCAATTCACGCGTTTGTTGGTTAATCCTACGCAGAGATGCTCGATGAATGCAGGTACTCAGTTACGTAATAAAACGCGAACAGGACCAACAACACCAGTCGACTTGAATCACGATTGCTTTCAAAGTGACTTCCGTTACAGAAAGCGAATTTGTCGAAAATAAAAAGACCAACAAAAATTAGGTACTTTCTAATTATTCGATGTCAAAACGATGTTTCCCATAAACTGGGCGGCTGAACAAAAAAACATTTTGAAGCCAAGAATTGCGCTTTTGACAAGTACCTTTATAGTACCTTCAAGTACCTCGATAACTCGAACCAACCCACTTCAAATACATCCCTATGTTGAATTATAGTAAAGTACCTGTCCGTATTCTCTAAAAAAAATGAATTAAAACGTCCGTAACTCGAAGGCTTTTCCCTAAAATCACCAAAAGACGAATTTTCTGGAGGTATTTTGGTCATTATTTCATGAACACATTGAAGCGAACAGCAATAAAAATACTTAATAATTGGATGAGTTTTAATTGGGCAAATGAATCCTTGCATCCAAGTTCAGTATCCCGTCAACTTATTTAAGAAGCGATTTGGCCCAAAATATCCCCGATTAATATTTTCTTTCTTTCCCGAGCAGAAAAGCTTTTCTTCTTCAACTCGATTTTTTTCGATGAATCCTTGAAGTTCGACTTATACCAAAAGCACACGTTCAAAATCGTTTTCTTTCGTTTTGACATAACGAAAGAAAATCGGTAGAAAATGAGAAACACTCCTGGAATAACCCGGAAATCTCGCTCCGAACAATGGAACCTTCTTCAGGAATACTATATGGGGGAACTAGGAAAACTATCTCAGATATATCAAAAGCCAGGTCTCTTTTTTTTTCTTCTTGATTTCCATTTTAGATTCAGCTTTAAAATGTTCCCGGGGAATCGAACTTACTACGTAACCACGTTCACGGGGTTCAATTCCCTCGCGACCTCACGGAAGGTCATGTTCAGTCTGAGTGACCTCCACCAAGTTTCCCACCAGAACAAACCCAGGCACAGGAAATTTCATCCACCACGACGGAAAACGAAGTTTCCTGGCAAACGGCCAATGTCAGTCCCCAGACGGCAATCATATCCCCTTTCCCTTATGTGCACCCCCATGACAATGTTCCGGAACTACCACGTTTCTGTGGACCCACGGGGGTTCTCATGCCGTAAGTAACAACACAAACACCCGCCTTAAAGAATATCTGGGCCAAAACAGAACCAATCTTCGTTCCAAGAAGAAAATATAGTTAAACTGAACCTTTTAAAGAAAAAAAAAATTCCGAAATGTAACACACCATATTTCCTCCGGGCAAATATAATTTCTGGAATTACGGTCCGATGTCATTGATAATAACATGCACTTGATGATAACGGGTCCAGAAAACTGTGCATAACCAAAAGCATCGTCTAATTGAATCACAGTACTTCATCTCCGGGATCGCACACTTTCTAACGGTACCAAAGGGGTCCAAGTACCTATTCCCCCTTTCGAACATATCCGCGTACAGGAAACGGTTTCAAGCATGAAACGAGGACTGAAGTCCGTGGAAACGCTTCACTGCTCTATGAACTCTTCGTAAATCAAATTCGAATGTTTCTTTCAAGATTCTGAGTGATACTGTATAACCTCATTCATGCCATACTTCAAAGATGAAAACGTCACAAACTAACCCTCAGTCAATTTTCGCATTGCTGCATAATACTCCCACCAGCGACTCAATGGATTTACTACGAGACCAGCTGAATCAAAATTATAATTCAATCAAAATAATATTTTGCTACAACGTCAATTAATTTTTTTTCCTTCTTTATCTCGCTCAAATTTGGAACTCTTCCACAACTAAAATAATAATAGGCAAAATTTCCGGTCTCTGAATTCAGGGCATTTCTACAGCATGACCTTTCTTTCAATTGTGGATATCCCGGAAAAAAGACGTCGGGCTGAGAAATGGTGGGGAACCCATAACACGAATAAACAAGAACCCTGAGGCACCAGAGGCAAAGCTGTCAGTCATTCCCACGACAAGCATTCCCTGGAGGATACTACACGATTACTCCTCCCACCTCGTCACTCACAATTCCCATTACGTCCAGCAAATGCAACTACTGCAAAGTATTTCGATCTCAAAAATAGAAACAACAGGAATCTTGTCAAGCCGAAACCCTCATTCCACTAATCCATTCAGCGCGCATCCGACTGGCAGTGATTCGCACAAGAGATTTAAGAGCATTTCGTAGATTACAGTATATTGCGTCCGAGATGCAGCAATTTTCCTGTCCCAACAAATATTGCAGTGTGTACGAAGTAATAAACAAAATACTGTACAGAATTGTCGTCGAGAGAATTTCAGTGTAACGAATTCTCAAAAAATAAGAGAGAGAAGGGCCTAAATACCAAGGAGTTACTGTATACAACTTCATTTTTGACAACGAATCGATCTTGGTTTAACAATAATAGATAATACAATGGAGATGTAGCGGGTAAGGAAAGTAGATTTTTACCATCCAACTCGGCATGTTTCAACAAATTTTCAAACAAGTTTCACGTGCTTCCAAATAAATGAAAAAGCTTCTTAGCGAGATATTTCACACTTGAAAATCATCACCCAACGAAAAAGTATAAATTGACAAGAAAAAGGGCTCTAATTACCGAAAAACATTTGCAAATGAACACACGCTTTCTCCGAACATTGTTATTGATTGACTCAGAGGATTCTGACTCGACAATTGGGGATTTCGAAGAACTTTCAATTCGAGTTAATAATAAAAATGAGTGAACAATCCCTGGACCACTTCCCATGCAACTTTCAGGTTTTTTTTTTCATTATTTTGTTCCTCATAAACTTCTCTCATGTCATTTTCGAAGCCGTACTTCTTCCGAATATTTTAGTCACATCTCTTCCGCCCCACTTCCAGTTCTTTCATACAATATAACCCACATACTATTCTGCTAAAATACGAAATTTTCGATTAGGAATCATATATATTTCGTATAACTCATCAATCAGCCGAGTTCCATCAGTTAAATCGCCCGGATTGCGCCGACCTAAGGAAGAAGGAATGAGACGAAACCGAGCGCCTGCCCGGCGTAGTGACCGGAGATAACTTATGAGATTCCGAAGCTGTTGCACAACCCAACACAAGAGGAGGGTTCCGGGAAAATAATGATGGGATAGCGACGAAGCAGAAAGAAAAATAAAGTAGAAGAACTCGGTTTGCGGCAGCGTATGGAGTACAGTACCCGAGTGGGCGACCCGAGGTCACCTCGCCCTTGCAGCACGAAACCTTTCGTGTGTTCCTTTTTTCCCCCTCGTTCTCTCCACTCCTACCCTTGGGATATTTTTGTTTCCGGAACTCGAAAATAAAGTATAAGGAAGGTGAAATCACAAAGCCTTAGAACTATCCCGTACTCCACCACTCTGTCCTAGAAAAAAAAGGGGGTGCTTTTCCACCCGGGTATTTTCACACGACATGAAATGGACTACTGGTGACCGAAGCAGAGAAAGTCAGAGACCTGATTCCGACATTTTACGTCACGATCGTATTCTCAAAATAACCCGACTCACACGCAATGGTTTATCAGAGAAGCAAGACTTTCCATCTCTTGCCGTATGCATAGAAATGACGAAGATCACATTTCGAATCTGGGCCACCAACATCTAGGAATTTCGCATAATTGCCTGGGCTCTTCTAGCGTCAACCTCCCCAGTGCCTGAAATCATTGAATCTCAAGATGCAAATACGATTTCTCGCATCCAGTCCGCGTTTCTGCCGATGTTTCATTCCAGATACAGTACAGAATTCGGAAAATAACTGACCCGTTCGATGGAAACGTTTTGAGGGAAAACAACCTTTTGAGTTCGACAATAAATCTCTGATCTACAGGATGTTTCGCAACTAAAAATCAGTGGAAGCTTTAGAACTTGAGCACTGAATTCACCTTTTTTTACACGATAATTGCACGTACCAATAATTTCATCAAAGATATATTGGTAGGTTGATTTCTCAAAAAGGTAAAATCCTGTTAGCCATGAGATTTTTCGATTTACTGTGTCGTAGAAATCGAGAAGCGGTTTGAAATTCCATCTTTTTTCGGTCGAAACGGTTTCTAGAATCGTGTCTACCGTAAACAAAAGATTGTAAAATTTTTCACTGCCAAATATTTCCCCTCGATGTGTTGAAGCTTTTAAAATTGGGCATTATCAATTCAATTCCTTTTCGGAAAATTTATCGTTTTTATTCGCCCCCCATGAATGCATCGTTAAATCACAATAATTGATTATTTCTCAGATTCGTTTCATGATTAAGTTTTGTTTGAAGTCAGGGCTTAATTCTGAACTTCACTAAAAGGCATCAAATCTTTTCAGCAATTTGCGTCTCTTTCCAACAAATGAATGTTGATTGAGATGAAGTGCTTTCACATACGTATTTATGGTATACCATTCTCAAACATTTCTGCACCCGGAATTACAATTTGAAATCCGCTTCTCCCACTCACGAAACCTGTCATGCAACAAGGAAAAAAAAACCTGCGGTCCTTTTCATTCTTAAATGCGCGATAGTACAGTAAGGTACAGTGCTCCAATGAAGTGCTCAGCTCAAGGATGAAAATAGCAACAAAATAGCACAGCAAAAAATAAAATAAAAACTCACCGAGTAGGTGCACGTTTCATTGATGATGACACGAGTAGCGAAACTTTCGTTGTACGCCTCAATCTTCAGAACACGATTCCTTCGATCCAAAGAATTCTTTTGAATGAACAGCACGTGCTCCATACCAATAATCTGAAAAGAAGAAAAATACAATTCTTCGTTGAGAAAACAAATAACCAACAATACCAGCTTTTCAGTGAAAAAAAAGCATCATTTTTCGTTCATCCAACTCCCACACGTACCAGGAATTCCCGACAATCGAAGTCTCTCAGATTTTCTAATTTGTCCGACAACACTCAAAATTCCTTGAGACGCTTAAAAATTATAATAGAAAATTGCATGAAAGAGCAAATGAAAATAAATAACTAACATTTCCTAAAATGTCACAGCTCAACGAAAAATATTGATATTTTTCCACCGAAGGAAAGAAACTGATTAGGAAATCAATTTAGAAATGTATCGTCATTTCCATTCTAACAATCGATCCAATCGGAATGAATTTACGCAGGTCCACAAAAATACTAATTTCAGATACACCAAAAATCAAACCACGAATAGTCCATAAAAACTGGCTGCCGCTTTCACAGTTTATAAAAAGGGTTCAGTACTTCTCAAATCCACGACCACCATCAGTTTCGAAAATATGCAAAGTTGAATCGATAGAAACCCTTGCCGGGAAGATTGAGAAGGAAAGATATTTCGAGACCAGCTTGAACATAAAATGTCGACCAGGGAAAACAGAACAACCCCCCCCCCCCCCCACAGAGATCAAGGTCAAGAAATTTCCGTTCGGTTCTATCCCATTGCTTTTGGCGATACAGAAGAGAGTTGGAAAAAAGGAAAAATTCAGGGGGAAAAATACCAGATGGGAAATGGAAGCCTCGGGTGCGATTCCCGACACCCGGTTCCCTCTCGCGGTGCTGCTGCCCCTCAGTCCTCACAAAGAAACGTGACTCTTGCCAGCCCCCGCGGGCACGTGATTGAAGAGAAAAAAGCTCGGATCCAGATCACTCTGGTTCTGTACCCGAAGGGCTTTTGTACCCGTCTTCAGCAGCAACCCGGACTGTACTATTCTGTACAGTATGTTTAGTATTCATTTCCTTATTTCGGGTGACGCGACTATTGGATCCATGCCAAGGTTACAGTTTACGTATTTGTACACGAACAATCAAAATAATCTTTGAACAATCGCGTCTTCATCCCGTGATAGACAAGAGATGTTCAGCTAAAGAACAAATATTTTTACAACGAAGCCATTGGGAACAGTGAAATAGCTCCGCTGTAACGAAAATTCCGTTATAAAGTAATTCTCGTAGCACTGCGGCTATTGGGCAGGGACCTACAAAAAACTAAGCACTTCGTTGTAACCTATTATCTGTTACAGTATAACGTGATACTTTGTAACGAGATCCTACAGTAATTTCTTCGGAACGACACATCAATATTTATTTCAGGGATTTTTACCTACCTAGCGTGCAGCTTCGGAAGGACTTCAGATCGAACTAAAAAAAAAACATGAGAAAAAGGTAATGAAATTAAAATTAAAATAGAGTGCAAAGAAAAAATTGTTAAATCTACTCTAGCTCCTGAGAGAGAAATATTAGAAGATAAAGGAGGATAAACAGTTCAAAAATTCTTTTATTTTATTAAAAGTTCTGTAGACAGAGTTCTCGAACTTTAAAAACCGATTACCGGTATATCATTACTCAATTTAGCAATACTGCGGGATCCACGATGAAAGTACTGTAATTCGAATTTTCAGAACTGCACGTCCACAAAAATGTACAATTGACAGCAGGCATTACAAAATGGGTAGAATAATATTTTTTAATTCGATACAGTAACTGGGTACTGATAATTGCGGAGAACGTACAGATGTTTATCACGCTAAAATTTTCTAAAAACAGTTGTCTGGTGAGGAATGAAGCGTGAATATAATCGGTGTGTACTGTAGCTTGATACACTGCACAATCCCTGAAACGGTCGAAAGGTGAAGCGTCCAAGTAAATATAACTGATTCGGTTTACCGGAGTAGGAAACTGCATAACATTTAAATGAATCGAGTCTTTTAGAAGCGCGAACAGGTTGTAGAAGTTGGATAAAGTTAGTCGAAGAAATCTGAAGAACAGGAGCTAAAATATACAGCATTCTAAAACGATTATTCCTTACTGCATCTGCATTGTTCCGAAAGCGTGCTTCGAAAAAAAAAGGTCACCCAGCAGAAACATAGCTGCACGCAATCAGCTGATCAGGCATCATGAAATGTGAAAACAATTGCATAAAGAGGATCTTCGCTTTCGTATCACGAAATGGGAGAAGGACGACAAGTTTTGTCTGAAGTACCGGAGATACATTAATTCGCCTTTGGTTCAGAAGCCTCAATAAGAAGAAGACGATTTACCATGGACATTTTTTTCATTACGCCCCAATTATCGGAGGGCTTCTTATTCACCAACTCAAATTTCACGGCAACTTCTGCAATCGACAACACTGACACAATCCCCATTTTTCAGAACATGTTTTTTTCATTTAAACGTGATTTTCAGATCTGGGGTATTGTCACTAATTTCATTCATCCATTTGTGGGTTCTTGCATGACCATCGGTTTGAATGATATTCTTAGCATACACGATTTTTAATGAATATTCAATACAATTTTTTCTTCTTCGTCAGCGTTAATATTGCTTTTTTAAGTCACTCTGAACAAAAACACATCAGAGATAGGATTTAGTGATATACAGTACTGTACAGTACTTGCTTTTTGTGATGTTTTCCTGTCGTCTCCGAGGGCTCGAGAGCGTTGATTACGTGTCTCACTAAGTCATACATTATCCCTGAAGATTTTCCCCAGAATTTACGAATCTATTTTTTCATGCACCGAACATTCTCAAATTAATTATCCTGCGACTGAGAGCAGTGTCAGTCATTCAGATTCCGCAAAACAAAATTCAAATACAATATGGACGTTCCAAATTAAATAATTGAGCTTCTCGTTTCATTCGAAAATACTGTATGTAGAATTTACGTCGATAATGCGTTGATCCCTCGTCTGTTTTTTTTTTCTGGGATATCAGTTGTGCGACTGGTTCTGGTCACATTTTCGTAAAAATGGGTTATTCTTCGGAGAAAATGCTTCGCACTCGACGGCTACAACAGTACTTGTCAATACACATCTCGGAATCTGGAGTAAAAAATTAACCTCATTCCATTTACGCAAGCCAGTTCCGACGGGAGCCTCCTTTCGCCGTAATTCGGAGAGTTGAACATGTTTCATCCAAGAAATCATGGGAATTCCCTACTTTTTCTGCAGAACAAAGGAGAACCCGCCTGCTGCGCAATTCTTCCAATATTTCCTTGGATCGCAGTAGAAAAATAAACGTTCCCGTCCAAACCCCTCTGGAAATCAGCCTGCCAATGCGCAGCACTTCACATCACATTGATGAGGAAAAATAAACAGAAAATCTGCTTGTCTGTAACATCATTCTTTCGGACTCTTATCATACTGGGTGAAAAATAAAGATTAAAATCTCTCGATAATCCATCTCTTGGACACCATGAATGGATGGTTAAAATGAAACCGGCAGGAATTTCAGTTCATGGGATACTGCAAATGCTTAAAAAAAAATCCGTTCCCCATTTCACCCAGGATCCAATTACTCCATGAATTAACATTCAAACCGTAAGCCTAAAAATGACGGAAATTCCGGGATTGAACGTGATTTCAGCATTCCTCGACCGAAAAATTCAAACTATTTTCGATGATTGAAAAAATACGGCAAATAAAATAGATGTCCCACGAGAAATGGTTGAATGGAATCACCAACATGGTCCGAAAGGAATTCTGAAGATTCGCGAACAAATACGCCATTCGGGGAAGAAAAAATACTGTAAAAAGATTAAAATTCTGACCGAATAACGGGAGAACACGAGTCGACAATCACGGCACAATTTTGAAACGAAGCGAAGATATCCGCTGCAATCAACAGCTCGTGACAAGTTGAATCATTAGGTGAATCCAATCACGCCCTTTTCCGAGTCACTGATGACTCCTCTCAATCATTACGCAATTCTCGAGCTACTCAGCACCACTGACAGAAAAACTTCCTCGTTTCTCTCGTTCTTCACATCACACACATTAAATCCCCGTCTTCCTCATTGACTTTTACACTCCACTTACCCGGCAGCAATCGAACACTTCTCTTACAATCATCCGTAAATCTTTCTGCGACGCAGCTGCAGGTACAGACCTGAAAACCGTGTCGCAAAATAGAACAAATATTGCAAGGAAAACGAAATCAACGGAGCAAACAAACCCTATTCCGCTACGACTTCGATCCACGGATATTTGGTTAGATGCACTCCTGCAATCTTCGCAGCATTTGGGGCGCGGGAAAACAGGAAGAGATTACCGCTGATTTTCCTTTTCCTTCGACAAAAACCCGATTTTGGAACTAAAAAAGACTCGCGTATATATTAAGAAATAGATGGCTTACACGTACAGTCCTCCAAAAATACATACAGTAAAAGCAAGGTATTTTTCGGAGAACGGCACAGAGTCGAAAATTCTGGAAGCTTCTGGAAAATGCGAGGGTTGGTTCAAAAGTCGTGTTGTAAGTCCTGCACTTATCGTTTACTATGTGATGTCCGATCACATCCCAAATACCTTTCGAAGTTTTGATCACTTAGATGGAAATCAAAAGAAGGAAGACGAGTTAGAAAGCTCCCGAACACAGTTCTGTTATTTCCTCGAAAATCTGAACAGGATGCGAGAACAAAGTTTTCGAATACAGTACCAGAGCTTTGACACTATACCGTAGATTAAATTTATACGAAGTGGATTTGTTTCGCGTGAGATTTTTTTTTAACTGTACAATATCCATATTTTTAGAAAGCTTCCAGATTTAAAGCCTAATTACACGAATAAATCGAGTTGGCTTCTATTCGGCTCGAACCACAGCTTCATTTTTCGTTTTCAATCAAGACTTCCAAAATACGGTTATTCGCCGTTTTTCTCACTGTAGTAGATTACCGAACTGCTAGCTAAATCGGCACAAGTATTCCGACGAAGAGTCCTCATCTTTTCCTGATGCAGTATCGCCTTTTTTAGGCAGGGTAGAGTTTGCAGCCCAATTTTAGACATTCCGTATTCCAATTAGAACCAGTGTTTTCAGCACATAATGCTCGACACTAACCATCTTTAAAAACAGTACAGTATTTACGCATCAAAAAGCATCAACAATTCCGGAAATTATATGGCCACGTGCGTTCAGACAACATTAATTCCCATCAACCTTCATATCCTGCATCACATTTCCATTCCCGTATGTTCCATTTACATATTGTAATTTACTTCTCTTTCCTGAACCACTTGTTCAACAGCCCACATCAAACGAATGAAAATTCCGCGCACCACTCGCGAGTTGTCAGCGTGCCGTCAGAGGTATGCGTAACAACGCATCAAAATTATTGTTTTTAAAAAAAGCTTCGCCGTTTCCCTGATGCAGACAAGTCACACCCTGTGACAAAGATTGGAACAAGAAAAAAAAAAACAGAAACCAACCTTCTTCAGGAGATACGGAGCGTCGACGTTGAGTCGACATCTCCTTTCAATGACGTGCGTCGAGCCATCCGAAGCAGTTTCTTCTTTGATCGTGTCACTGCCCACGAACACAGGGATGAGTTCGCAAGTCGGGAATCGCCGCTCGTAGGCCTGCCATTTCAATGAAATAATTTCGGAAATAAAAAAGTTGAATCAAAAGAAGAAAAAAATGATCAATCATTAACCAGAGGCCATTAATTCTCATGATGCGCTTTCGTGGCTCTGAAAGAGCCTTCCCATTGTATACGTGCCCCCAATAGGAAGTTCTCACTCAGCTTCCCGAGATCTTTCCAGTCGACCTTGGAAGGTACTTCCCATGATACGTATTCATCTCAAAAGCACTGACGCACAGTATTAATTTACTAAATTGTCTCGCTTATAGATATACAGTAGAGCCATTAATAAAGAAAATTTATTCATTTAAATTTATTTCAGAATGGTGACAAACCTCTATATCTAAGCATGTGATTCGGGCAGAAATTTGCGGTCGCAATTTTTCTTCGTAAACGATGATTCCACGAGCCGCTTCCCCTTTTTCCATTGATTATCCGAGTTTTAAAAACCTATTCGTTCAACTTATTTATGTTCGGGAGATGGAAGTATTCACGGAGATGAAATTGTCTTCCGAAGCCTAAATGTACATTAACACAGCAACCGCTAATTTTGACAAAAGCCCAATTGAAATTTATGAAAAACTCGAAACGTACGTTATTCACTGTACAAGGTTTTACTGGAAACCAGCCTTCGGCAGATACACGGTAAGGGTCTTTTTGAGTGCTGATACAATACTTTCCACTGACTACAGTACTTCTACGATTAATATACATCAGCGAGGCAAAGATGAGGTCATCTAATACTCATTTACAGTACTGCGGGACACTCCCAGAAATGACTGAACCCAAACGTTCTCAAGGTCAACCGAAGCCGAGAAGAGGCTTTTGTTCCATGATAAGTAAAGGTGCTGAGTTCAACTTCGACAAACGCACAGTAGGGCTTTTCAGAAAAAGCTATGTTCCGTGGCTGGAAAATATTGGCAGCTATAATTTCATCGTGAAGTACGATTTCTGTTACATCACGGTCGCGTTTCAAAGAGCAGAACACTTGATTTCATCGGAAAAACTTACCGCCATGACGAGTTCGAATGGATATTTGTACACCCGCACGGGTGACTGGTAGCTTTGCACCATTCTGAAATCCACACGGTTTTCTTCTCAATCGTTATCACCTATTCAAAAAAAAGGAAAACGTACAATACAGTAATTTAAAGTTTAAAAAACGCATCACCCAAAAGCACGTGATAACAAAGATTTTCAAATCAGAAAACGATACGCAGTTCTGCGCCAGAATAAATGGCGGGGTAGTGACTGGTCTCTTTTCTACAACCGTAGAAGTTTACCAACCACGATAAGGATATCAGATGTGATCTAAGAATAACAAGTCATCGAGGAAATGCCAACATTTTCAATGCTCACCTTTACGATCGGCGTGAGAACTGTTCAAGCGTTAAATTATTCGAACAAAGAACACGCATCTTGTAGGTCAAAATTTGAAATCAGATACAAAAGAATATACAGTTCTTAGAGCAACGTGTGAATCGTTTTTCCCTTAAAACCGATACACACTTCCTCATATCAAACAATAGCTTCTCTTGCATTTTCAACAAAAGCATCGCCCACGCATTGTCATATGCCACGGACAATCAGAATTTTCTATCAATTTTTTACATCACTCGACCACACATCGAACTACCGTATCTTCAGAATGAAAAAAAAATCATGGATTAACCCGGATTTGCGGACCACTGCACTGCACCACGAAGTGGTCTTCCTTCCGTCACCGGCCGGGGTGGACTCAGATGGGAAGCCACGGCCCAGCCGAGGTCTAGTCTTCCCATGGGCAAGTAGCAACAAGGCGCGCACTCACACAACAGCTGTAACGCAATCGCTTGAGACAGGCCAAAGCGTTTCACCACCATCTCACCCACGAGGCTTTACAGTAAGTTTTCTAATATTCAAATGAATCAGAAATTTGAACAACTCAACTAAGGTTTTCTTCATTAAGGAATTGGATCGTCGAAAGTTCGTTACACGGATCATGACGCAATACTAGGTAAACTACGGTATTTCAGCTTTATATCTCAAGCTGATCCTGTGATATGGGTTAGTAAATGACATTACTGTACAGTACTGTGCTTCTCAAATAAACTCCTGCAAATTCAGTAAAATGCGACACTTGACACTGTAACATCACTGGCCTTCTAAAAATCAGAAACGTACGCTAAACTAGCCTTACATTGAACTAGGATTGACATGTGTAGATGCAATACAATGATACGGTATCTTTAAAAGTTATAGCCGCATGGCATAATTCACATGAACAATCAGCTGTTCATATGACTAACGAAAATGTTGAACAAAGAAATATAAAATGAGTGAGCCTAAATTGACTCGATTCGAAACAGAAAATCAAAAGATGACCCAAAACAGAAAACTAAGTCTCTTGTCGAGAAAAATTCAGAAGACAGCAAGAATGCAACAGGCAGTAACACCCACTTCACTCAGATATTTTTGAGCCCTTCTCTGTCTTGTAAAGTTGAGAACTGGCAACTCCAGCGTCGGAAGTATATAGATTCGACCTTCGAGAGCAATTACTCTGAACTTGTGGAAACCCCGTCTGAACTTGAATTCCTTCCTAGCGATGGCTGAGCACAGCACAAAATGAACCGTCAATGAACTAACAGCAGAATTAATATCTTCGCTTACTAAGAGCGGAACCAGAGACACATCAAAATGCAACAGCTCCGCACCGAAAGTCTAACTGACTGATACAAGTCTCGTCAACAGTGTTATGTTGTGGGTTCAAAATAAAAAATAATAATACATGCTACCAAAAGGGGAATATTTTGCCCTATCTAGAGTGAAAATTTAAATTCCCCTTCTAATATGATCACAATCGCTTTTGCAATGGAATGGCAAATTCTTTAGATAGGATTAACCCCAATTTCTTTAATTAACTCAGATGCATTCATCGTAAAAGAAAATTTGAAATACTGCACCATCGGTCGAAAAAAGGTATTCAGTGAAGCTGTCTAATTATTTCTCGATTTTTACCAAGGAAGTAAAATTAGACGGGGATGGTGACCTGGCAATGTATATTTTCAGTCAATTCTACCTCGCAAATTCGAAAAAGACAAGGTCATTTTCGAAGATTTAATTCTTCCAATGAAAAATTGAAAAGTAATGGCGAATGCGCTTGTGAGAATGACTGTCGTCAAATCCTCTTCCATTATAGCACCGTCTATAAACGAATAAATGACATGTTGGCCCAAAACCATCACTATACAAGAAGAGTTAGAAGACGCTTCAATTCATGCATGAAGAATTAATAACTCACGTGAAACACAGCAGAAGAATCCAACCCTCGTTTTGAGCAGTATGTCCTCTCTTTCAGATCCACAATGGGAATACCAATCGCCAACAAAAATGGAGTAGTCCTCCTTTTCCTCAATCACTGATCAACGTCCGTAATATCTCCGAAACACAATTAGTGTTGACTTCCGGTCCAATTTTGGGCGTACAATTATGGATGCTGATGTTACACTCCATACCAGTCAGTAGATATCAGCCGTAAAACACATTTTCAAACTGTATACGGCACGATTTTCTCCAACTATCACAAAACGCTATATTTTTCTCCTCAAGGCAAAGGCACGAGTTTCATCGACGAGGAAGTTTATAATCACTGTGGACTAGGGAAGCACCTGAAACTAAAACATTCTTTTTAGGCACGTAGACAAGAACACAAATCAATAACCCACTCTTCGGAATATAATATTTTACGCGTCAACTAGCAAAGAGATGAAAGAGTCAATTCGAAGCTTTCGACAAAAAAAGTCATTTATTCATACAATAAAAGACCCGCGCAGAAAATCATCCGCAGCAAATTACACTTCCGTACACATAAAAAAAATCTCCGCGGATTCGGAATATAATAGCTTTTATTCACAATAGTAGAAATCGTAGAAAAAGCATCAACCGATTCAACTATCCTCACATATACGTAAAACGTCACGGCTAAGCGTCCACACCTTCCGATTTTTGGAGGGGGAACGCCAAGGGGAACGCCATCATGAAAAATATTTTGCGCGCTCTTTCAAAGAGCACATTCGGAACACTAAGCACTTCAGACTCATTGCTATAAGCAACTGCACGTCAAACAATAGTCGCAGTACCACGTCATTCCGATACAGTGTCACTCGACACAAATAATGCAAAAGGTAGTAAAGTCACGAATAAAAAATTACCTAGTCGCAGCATATATTCTATGTCTTAAGGTACAGAATAATTTTTTAAAAACTCGCACCCTTATCAAGTGGTAATTGAAACGTGGTCAGCAATGAGACATACCCTGTGGAACAAAAAAAACGAGGTTTCTTCCATCATTCTTCCATATTCCGTTTGGAATTCGCCGGAGCGAACAGTTTTTTCGTTTTTGACTTATCCGCTGCTTTTTTCGCGACCTTCTTGCTATCCGCACCTGTCACTGCTGGCTTTGCCTTAACCTTTTTCGCCTTGCCTTTGGGCGTTGTCATCAGTGCTGCCTCCTTCGCCGTTTCTACATCCAGAGTTTTCGCTGCACCCTTTGCTTTATGTATGCGCTTCGGAGTCTTAGTAACCTTCGAAACACCCAGACTTCTCTTCATAGTACCTTTCAAGCCCTTTTTCTTTACCAGAACCTTTGCTGCCGACGGCATGGCCTTTTTCTTTGGGATAGGTTTTGGCTTATGTTTGCCCACATCTGACTCCGATGCATGCGGTGAAGCAATTTCTGTCGGCTTTTTTGATGGTGACCTGGTAGACTTTGGAATTTTTGCAAGAACAGGCTTGAAATAACCAGTGATACCGGAACCCTTCGGTTGAAAAAGTGAGCCCTCTTCGATTCCTTTCATCAGCGCTGCCTTCACGTAGCCATTAACCCTCTGCAGAGAGACAACAAATCGGAAGATGTATACTGTATCGCAATTAATAACGCAACAAATAAGCATGCAAGACCGTGTGCTCCTCATTTTAAAGATATTTCTGCGAGCCAAAAAAAAATGTTCAGTGCTGAAATTCCTGGCTAGAAAATTAATCCTGCTTTTGAATGACAATGAGCGGCGAAGCTGATGGTTCTATAAATAGACACGAATGCCGCGTTTCCTCAGCATTATATACAAACCTTCGAATCGGAGCCAACATTGAAGTGCATCATAACATAATTCACAACGGCAGCGCGACTGGATCCATTGCGCTGATTCAGTTCACGAACAGTCTGTGTTACCATATCTTTGTAAGACGGGTGTTTCGCTGATTTCGGCTCAGCCTTTTTTGATTGCTGACTCGATTTGGCGTTAACGTCACCACTTTCCATACTTCAAACGTAGAAGTAACTCAAAGTGCGTGTCACGACTAAGTAATGTTCACTGCTCCTTGGAAGAACAATATCGACACAAAGCTTCCTTCGAAATGCCGAGAACGGCGCCCAGAGTACAGCGCTCCTGATCAGCACGAAGGGTCTCATTCCTGGTGTTATGACATCGAAATTCCTTTGAACCGTGATGGCCTCACTCGACTAAAAGACTTGCCGCTTTACTGTTTGAGAACAATTGACGCGACCCACATAACTTGTTTTTCAATGAGCATGAACAAAAAGTCTGTACTAACGACCCTTGTTCAATACTGTAGTGCAATCAGGTGCGTGTTGTTGTTCGGAACTTGCTCATAACCAGATGACGTTCCCTATGAGGATAAGTTCTTCGTTGAGTGCTGTTCTGTAGGTGAAAATTTGGGCATCATATGGATATCAATTTTCTACTTGATTTCATTGAGGAATGCCTAGGCAGGCTTCCACACATGCAGCTACAGTAGCAGACATTGATGTTCACAATTCAGCTCAAATTCAGTTATTTATGAAAGACGTGNTGATTGCTGACTCGATTTGGCGTTAACGTCACCACTTTCCATACTTCAAACGTAGAAGTAACTCAAAGTGCGTGTCACGACTAAGTAATGTTCACTGCTCCTTGGAAGAACAATATCGACACAAAGCTTCCTTCGAAATGCCGAGAACGGCGCCCAGAGTACAGCGCTCCTGATCAGCACAAAGGGAGAGTAAGGACCACAATACTGTAGCTTTAAGGAAACTTGGCACTACCGGAGTGAGCTGATTTTCTGAACGGCGAAATGACAAACTCTTGTTAACTGCGCTGGGTGTATTGAACAAAAAGTTACTCGTCTTTCAATATCTACAAGACAAAATAAAAGCAGGTCTCCCTGCTCCAACTTTCATTGCCTATGCCGATGCACTCGGGCTTGTCTAGCCTTGTATAGGAAACAGACCTGCCATAGAACAGGTCCGGTACAGGCACAAATTATAATACTGTACAAATTGTCAATCTCGGAATATTTGAGGGTGCCCTTCTCGGTTCTATCTGGGCATTTAGAACATATTTTCAATTAAGCATGCAGGTTTGTCCACGGGTCCCCTGCTCCTTTCTTTCAAACAAAAGTGAGAGCTTTATACGGGCGTACATTCCGTACAAAAATCTAAAGTCTGTATTCCCAGTACTGTACTTTGTCGAACTGCTGAAATACAGCAGTTCAAAAAGGTGATCATAGTTAGATAAAAATAAGTCTGTACTGTACTGACGACCCTTGTTCAATACTGTAGTAGTGTAGTGCAATCAGGTGCGTGTTGTTGTACGGAACTTGCTCATAACCAGATGACGTTCCCTATGAGGATAAGTTCTTCGTTGAGTGCTGTTCTGTAGGTGAAAATTTGGGCATCATATGGATATCAATTTTCTACTTGATTTCATTGAGGAATGCCTAGGCAGGCTTCCACACATGCAGCTACAGTAGCAGACATTGATGTTCACAATTCAGCTCAAATTCAGTTATTTATGAAAGACGTGTTTTTGAATGTGTAAATATGCAGAAGAATTTCTTATGGATTTGCTAGGATGAGTAAATCAGCAGCAGAAGTACGAAATACAAAGCCTTCATTCAATCATACTGGTAAAAAAAAAAACATTCACACAAATCCCAAGCAAGCAGATCCCATGCACACAAAAGACTTCGAGTGAGAAATGTCGTTGCCACAAAAGATTCAAGAAATTTGCTGAGATCACCGGCAACAGGCAACGACTAAGATTTGAACTCATTCAGTGAAGGTATCATGAGTCAAGCAAGCTCAATTCACTTCTTTGCTGCAGCCTTCTTGGGCGATGACTTCTTCGGGGCTGCCTTGGGCTTCTTGGCTGAGGCAGGTTTCTTGGCGGCGGCAGCAGGCTTCTTGGCAGCCTTTGGCTTCTTTGCTGCGGCAAGTTTCGCCTTTGCTGGGGACTTCGCCTTCTTTGCCACGGCGGGTTTAGCTGCCTTCGGCTTCTTTGCTGACACTGCCTTCGTCACCTTCTTCACTGCAGCCTTCTTTGGGGTCTTCACCTTCTTGGGCTTCTCTGCTTTGACAACCTTCGGCTTGATTGCCTTGGGCTTCTCAGCCAACTTGATGGCTTCTTTGCTGACACTGCCTTCGTCACCTTCTTCACTGCAGCCTTCTTTGGGGTCTTCACCTTCTTGGGCTTCTCTGCTTTGACAACCTTCGGCTTGGTTGCCTTGGGCTTCTCAGCCAACTTGAACGACCCAGCAGCTCCAGTTCCCTTGGCCTGCTTCAGGGATCCATCGGTCACGCCCTTCTTCAGAGCCAGCTTCACACTACACCTTGTCATTGGAGTCAACCTTGTAGTTGGCCATGATGTACTTGAGGACTGCAGCTCGGCTGGAACCGTTTCTCTCCTTCAACGCACCAATGGCAGCGGACACCATCTCCTTGAAGGCAGGATGCGCAGCAGGGGCTTTCGGAGCCTTTGGCTTGGTAGCTTTAGGTGCCTTAGCTTTTGGAGCCTTCGCGGCGGCAGCAGGAGCCGCGACGGGAGTTTCAACTTCGGACATCTTCGATTTCTTGGCTTATAATTATAATTTTAACAGATTATCAGGTATCAATGCTCGTCGTTCTACGTTTCGCTCAGAAGTGGCAGTAGTTCCGGAGATAGGGCAAGGGAGTATATGAGCCACCGCCGCGGACGTCATTGCAAGCACCCTGCGTTGATACGCTGCCTGGAGGCGGACTTCGAACTGCTTGTGGTTGCAAGTGTCAAATTTAATTTATATTCAAACCCTTTGAGTATCCTATTCTCAGGTTTATGATCAGAAAATAGATTCATCGTATAGAGAAAACTTCAGGCTTTGGTCTCGTGTAAGTTTTATCGTGGAATTCCCTGACTATGGAGGAAGAATAGATGCTGAACTCAATTTTGGGTTGCGGTTTTTCAGAAGATATTTGACAAATAATCCAATGAAATACATTTCTACGCTTCTTGAATGATTTTAAAGAGAACCAAGTCATAGCCAACATTTCAGGCTACAATTTGGTACAAACTTTTTACTGAATCTGCGCTGAAGTAATTACAAAATAGGTCTGAAAGTGGGCGCTTGAAACGCGCGTTCAGCTCAGCGGATGGTGAATAATGCTTGACGCGGACGAGCCTAACATACTGAATTTTGTTTCTTAGCAAGACTATTCTTGTATTAAAAATTTGAATGACTTGATTTTCAAATAATTTATAGAAATCCTTTGCATTCCATTCACAAAATAAATTTCTCGGTTTATCCTGAGTAATTGTCTATCTGACGAGGAGGGCTCATCCTACAGGAATACTCATACTGTTCAGTATACAGTACAGTATTTTGAAACTTGTCATGGAATTTTTCATAATCTGGAAAATTCGTGTTGATCATCATGGTTCCATTGTCCCAATATTAAGAGTGACCAACGTATCCTGAATATTTCACGTGTTTTTTGCAGCCAAATATACGCTATAAATCACAGCGTTGAAAACTGAAAAATGTAAATGTTGTTACATGCAATGATCCTTCCAATCAACCTACAGTTTAGTGCGCACATTCCCGTTCTGTCATCATTACTTTGAAGCATATCTTTTAGATATTCAGTCAGTTTGTATTCAATAAAATTTATACAAAAAGACCCATTGCATATACATTTTTAATCCTTTGACTTGTTGTCTTGTGAAGCATTAATGCCTATGCAATATCATGGGTTTGACAATTGATTGAACACTTTACTTGATTTTAAATTGGTGTATCCAATATTTGTGTATTTCCAGAATTACAGTACATGTAAAACAATATGAGCTGGTAATTTCAATGTTCACAATGAGCTAAATATCTATGTGACCACCTACAAGTATCGAACCTGTTTTTCCCTTTTCTGAAATAAAGAAGAAAAAAAGCACGAGCGTTTATGTCACAGATGCATTTTTGTTTTAAGCTCAGATGGATGAAACAGGGACATACAGTTTTCTGTATACAGTGCAAAGAGGTTTGCGAATTGCCTGAATCTTGAAGATTCGTGCAGACTCAGACAATGAAATATTGCGAATAATCTCGTGGAATGCATCCGCCAGGCTTCTTATTTCTTGGGAAATACAGTATAATATAATATATAATATTTCATGGTACAGTATCAATCTGTCCATGGCAGAAACATGTACTCAAAATGTACAGTAATATAATTTTTAGTTCAAAATTATCCCTATTTTCACACAGTTCTTCATATAGATTCACTGTACTGTACGTGAACATTTCCCCGCCAATTCCCAGGGAAGAGAGTCCAGCTGTGCAATAATCCCCACACTCTAGGTCACATCCAAGGACTTCCATCAGCTGATTTGTCTAAGAATGTGCTTCATTGTTGGGGATGAACACCTCAAGGATATGAATTCGTATCCTATAGGAAAGCCATGGAATTTCAGCATTTTTAGATAATTTCTGGTAACTTAACGCATTAAAATCATAAAACTAATTTTGAATTCTAAATATCCAAGTTTATTTCTAGAAACTATATCGTTCATGCAAAAAAATGTCTAAGAATAAGAAAAATAACATTCAGCTTCAAGTCAGAAAATGAATTGAAGTCCGTAGAATGTTTCTTTTCAGAAAAGTAATTTCCGTTGCCTTACATCTTTTCCAACTTTATCCGTACAAAATCAATGCATCATCAGTTTTGATGAGGAAATTCCCAACTTAGCTACGTAACATGGAGGACCAAAAATTCGTTCATGAATAAAATTGATTTGAAAACTTCAGGAAGTCTAATAAAAAACCAACTGTTGAACGATTCATCCGTTCATTGTCTGAATGAACAAAGATCCCTCACATCGTTTGAAGCAAAAAATCTGATACTGGAATATAATGCCAATAATTATAATTACTTTCTCTCAGTGTGGAGACACTAATTGTGAACTTCAGCATGCCGAAAATCACCTCATCCAATATTGTACTGCATGAAAATAATTACCCTCTATAAGCCATGAATATTTTACATGTTTTCAGCAGGGCTAATGGTTGTTGAAAATAATCACATAATCACAACAGGTTAGAAATTCCTAATGACGGCGTTTCAAAGCATGGCATCAAAAACAAACCCATGAACAATAACTTCAAGGGATTTTAAAGCTTGACTTCATTGAAACAAGAGCTCATAGCATAAATCATCTTGACATTTGTCGCATACAGATGATCTCTTCCTTGATATAATTCATTTATTGATTAAAATCTGATCTAATTATTGTACAGCACTTCCAAATCATGCAATGTGAATTTAATCATGATACTTTTTTAATACAGCGGGTTTCAAATTCAACAAAGAGTAAATCATGAGCTCTGTATGTTTTCTTCTGACCTTTGGTCAACCATGAAGCGATGCACTTAGGCTGCACTCACTCATCAAAGCTCCGGGTTGCTTGATCCTAATATTAAGAACCGCTCCTGGACGCAGAAGTGGCGCCAACCTAAAGCCTGGGATACGTCAGAACCCTGATTCTGTCTATACCCTATAAGCCTTCCTGGCCGCCAGAAAGTATTTCCAAGTTCTAAAAGACATGAAAGTTAAGCATACCGTACGAAGGTTCTGTGAAGTGCAGTAAAATAAAGTACTTTACTGTACATCCACCACATAAGTAAAACTATCCACGAAAATCAAATGCTCAGATAAATCTATGCGATACCCTCCCAATTTCAATTTATTCAATTTTTTGGTAAGTATACCGCTTTACTGTAAAATTCGAATCATGTAAATTGTAATGATTGAAACCCCCAACAATTGAAAACGACTTCCAAGTCTTAGTGAATCTCAGCTTATTCATTGTGCATTTTAATATTTTCAACAAAGACTCGGAGTTCTAATATTCGAACATTCGCCAGCAGTTGGAGATGAATTTCCCTCAATTTGTGCACACAAATTGGAAGTGAAAACTTAATTTCACATTTTTTTTGCTTTGATTCATTCCCAGAGAGATGAGGTCCATTTCCAGAGACTATGAGGATCTCATCATTCCCTTGTGGCACATTCCCACTCTCATTTATATTTTGAAAGTAATATGAATAAATCGATACTTTTTCATGTTTTATAGTTGAAAAATGAAAGGAAAAATAAGGTAAATGCATATTATGCTTGTTTTTGGTCAATAAGCTTTTGATATACCTTTGAATAAGGGTTATACCATTTACAGTATAATATTATGTGCATTGTAAGCATCTGGTAACCCGAAGGGTGGACGACCGGTAGGGATGCCTGTCTTCCCGCGCGCGCGCATTTCCCCCTTTTCGAGAGCGCCCCTCTCAAAATCGAATTCCCTCGCAGGGAAATAGGGTATGGTGGAACGCGCGCCAAAAACTGACCCTCCCTGTGGCGCGCGCACTCTCTCTTGTTCCTCTCCGTGTTCCCCATCGGAGTAAATCCCCCTCCGGTTTTCATTCGCAACTTCCTCAGTTCCCCCTTGTATTCTATTAATCGCCTCTCCCTATTCCTGTATCCTCTGCTCCCCCTACCCATTTCTATGTGGGCAGCGCGCCAAAATTTGAACTTCTGGCCGTTGGAGCATCCATGGCGTAGCTTGAGTGAGCGCACGTTGATAAATGTTGCCGACTGAAATACGAATGGGTAACCAGCATCACAATCCTTTCAGTCTACTGTACTTCATTTTTTTCCATTAACTGTACTGTATATGGATTTTTCCTCATGTTACCAGGCATGTGATCATCACTAGTTGGTGTCATCGGTTTTAAGCGGAACTCGATTCAACAGAGGGAAAATTATTCACACAGGGGCAGCTTGAGTGACGGCAAGAAAAATCAATCGTTTCACTTACTTGCGCACTAACACAATGTTATTGGTGAATTCACTATATGCATGTGAAGAGCAAACCTTGTCTAGCACAACAGTCTTGAAAGTACAAAACAAAATATCATTATTTGACAAAATGCAATGAAAAGATACATTACTGTAATAGAATTAAAATAATGTTCATTTTCATAATTTTTCCTCCTGTAATAATTCAAGGGATCTGTTTCAGGGGATAATGGGGATGATGTTTGAAAGGATGTGAGGTAGAAATTAATTAATGCAATTATACTTTTTATTTGATTATTTATATATATTCTCCTGTGTACGTGCATTTTTTTTAATTGCATTCAAATTTTACACGTATTTATTCTTGCATACATTTTCTGAATTTTACTGTTGTATAAATATAAATTTGAAGGAGTAACCAATAATCAACTTTCCATCAACCAATGGCTCTGTATTACAAATTCCAGTGAAAAATTCCATAGTAATTTTTACAGTTTCTAAACATATTCAAACACTTCACAACTCAATTCCAACCAGTTTATGACACAGATTTCACCATTTTCAAACACAGGGTGGAATGCAAGGAAATAACTCCAGTTTGCATTGGTGGATGGAATTTGCAGCAAATGCTTTCCTCCTGTCATAATTTTTAACTTGCCAAGGATACATAAGCTTTCATTGATGTTTGCATCAAAATTATTATCCTTTGAAAAATGTTTGAAACCAATGTATTGCATAGAATGTGTTGTTTTTCAATTTTGATGCACCATGCAAGGCTTGACAACCAATTTGTTTTCATAAATGTTTTTCTATGTTGAGTTTGGAAATACAGAACATGAAACTTTAGTTTTCATTTCAAATGAACAGATGAAGGTATTTTGGGAAATTTTCAGACTGAAGAAAGGAAATAAATGATGGAAGGTGATATTTTCAGAATCATGCCATTATAAAAGAAATGAATAATGTATTTATACAAAACAAGTCATGTCAAAATTCCATGATATACTCCGTAGGACAAATTCAAGATAGGTTGATCAAGAATAAATTCTGGGATGAAGAAAGTTGTTCGCACCTAAAAATTACACATAATAACAATGAACGTAAAGAGCTTTGTTCATTGTCTGATAAAAGCATTTTCGAAATTTTTCTCACTTGAGTGCGAATATAGGGAGTTGTGTAAATCAGCGAACATGACTTGAATAATGAAAATGGATAAAGCAAGATGAATGGCGCAGAACTTATAAATCAGGTTGGCAATTCGAGTTCAGCACCAACATGGTATCATGAGTGGACAATGTTTCAAACTTAATTTTAAGATTTATCCAATTCCCAATCAAGTTTTTTTTCTAGCTCTCATTTCCTTGAGGTATCTCGAAAGGAAATCTCAAAATTAACTTTCAGGAATACAGTATAAAGTTCCTGACTGGTCTTTCCTCCCAAGATTTTCTGACATAAGGGTTTTTTCATTCTGATGTTTCGTTTTGAGGCACTGGATCTTGGTGAATAAAAAAACGTGGATCTGTTTGTTAAGTAATAGTTTATCCGGTTATTCCTTTTGAAGATAAAAGAAAGCTTAAATGAAACCTCAATATTATAAAGTTAAGTTTCTTTCCCGAAGAATCGAGATAATCAATAATTGAATCTCAAAGTTTTCGAAAAAAATTGAAAATATGTGTTCCTCCTTGCATGCAGAAAGTGTATGCGCTAATAATGATGTAATTTTAATGAATTTCTCATGAGGTATTCGCGGTACATAAACTGATTGAAAAAAAGGGAAAAACTTAGAGAATTTATTTAGGTCTTGAATATCAATCCTTGGTGAGTCTGAAGAAGGTCTAGTCCACAATTTGACTAATGTACATATCAGGGAAATACAAGTGAGGTCTCGCTCAATGTTCAGATGAAGTTGGTCTCGTTTATCTGCCATTTATAAACTATTCGTCATTTTTGAGATTAAGAAATATACCGTATTCCAAAAATCCCATATATATGTCATTCATGTCAAATTTCCGTGGTTTCAAGAAGCTTACAAAGTTCATCTTTCACAAGAATGGGAAGCATCAGTCGGTAAGCGGCGTCGTACCGGCATATAGAAGAAAATTGATATCAACATTGTTTTCCTAATTACGGAAACTGCGAGAAGACAAAATGGAATCTGTATGAAATTACACAAGTTCAATTCGTCGTTTTTCTTAATGACACATCTTTGGAACAAAAATAATTTTGAATATAAAATTCCAGATTTTCTCATGGATATAAAAACGGTCTGCGTGGATGCCGAAATGTGCTTGAGTCGCACACTTCTGGCCTCTTGTAAGGACACGCATTTCTTTCTTTATAGGCATAATTTAATATCAAACCAAAGCTATGTTTCTTGTGAATCCATATGCATGAACTTGGTATCAGAAAAATAATTTAGTGAGACTTTTTTGACAAGTTTAGTCAAATTATTTGCTGGCGTTGCAGAGAGCAAGTGCCTTTCGTCTCGATTAGAAACGTGATGAACCGGTGTTATTCCATTTATTTTATTTTCAGAGGTTAGCAGCAACATTTATCTACCTCTCAACAAAATTTAGAAACCCTTGTCAACTTTTTGAATCAATGACAGTAAATCTAAGAAATTGTATTCAAAAATCAGGTTGAGACCTGAGCTCCTCCTGGCTGCTGGCGCGGTGCGTATCCAGCATGCTTGCTATGCCGTCCGCCGGTGCCACTTATATCCTCAGCTGACGTACCTCCGAAGCATCAAACCGAGAATATCTCTTGAACTATTCGAACGTCTGAATCACGCGCATTCGCAGCTAATAATAGCAATTCCCTTCCTGAAATTTGTTGAGTAACGAAATGACTGATCAAGTGGAAGCTCCCGTTGCGGCGTCTGCTGCCCCGGCCAAGGCACCAAAAGCCAAGACCCCGAAGGCAACCAAGCCGAAGGCACCGAAAGCCCCTGCTGCTGTAGGACGGAAGTTCCTCTACCACAGGCGACGGTAACCACGCAACTTCCTCTCTTTGCCAAGGTCGGCTCGACGTCAGGAGTTCATGTAGTACCGGTTGATGTTCCAACTGAGGTTACTGTTCCACAGTACAAAGTTCCGAATGCAATCTAGCTTGAGTGGTCCAGTGATAATTAATACTGAGTTGGTTCCAGCCGAGCTGCAGTCCTCAAGTACATCATGGCCAACTACAAGGTTGACTCCAATGACAAGGTGTGTACAAAGTTCCGAATGCAATCTAGCTTGAGTGGTCCAGTGATAATTAATACTGAGTTCAATTGAATGTGAAGCGTGACTTTGTGAAACACGGTGGTGTAATTTTTATTTATCTATCTATTTTACAGAAGGTGAATACCCGTGTGAAGCTGGCTCTGAAGAAGGGCGTGACCGATGGATCCCTGAAGCAGGCCAAGGGAACTGGAGCTGCTGGGTCGTTCAAGTTGGCTGAGAAGCCCAAGGCAACCAAGCCGAAGGTTGTCAAAGCAGAGAAGCCCAAGAAGGTGAAGACCCCAAAGAAGGCTGCAGTGAAGAAGGTGACGAAGGCAGTGTCAGCAAAGAAGCCAAAGGCAGCCAAACCCGCCGTGGCAAAGAAGGCCAAGTCCCCAGCAAAGGCAAAACCCGCCGCAGCAAAGAAGCCGAAGGCAGCTAAGAAACCCGCCTCAGCCAAGAAGCCCAAGGCAGCACCAAAAAAGAAGGCATCACCCAAGAAGGCTGCGGCAAAGAAGTGAATGAAAGAGATCCTTTGGTATAATACGAGTTCAAAAATCTTAGTTGTTGCCTGTTGCCGGTGATCTCAGCCAATTTCCTTACCTTTTGTGGCAACAATCCTCTTGTTTTTCAAAAGTCTTTGGAATGTCAGCGGTTTCTTTGATTGCGTGTGGGTTGAATGATATTTATATGCATTGTTTGTCATTGATCTGTTTCAATAGATCAAAAGTTTATTTATATTCTTGTCTATTCATTTTTTTATTCATCATGGGACAGCCCATAGTATACACTCAACAGGAACATCCTTGCAGGAGTCATTCATTTAAGTGACATTTGTCGGATTGTCTTCAAATAAGTACTGCACAGGAAATCGTCATTCACTATCCATATTAAATGTGAAATGTTCCTGGGTGACCGGACGTTATGGTACACTTTGAAACTCAACAAAACTCACTTCCACGCTGCCCCCCTAAAGGGCTGTTCCTTCTACTCCCTCCCTCCCCGCCACGAAGGAGTGACTTCATGAACTGCGTATGCTTGCAGATAGGAATTACATGTTGAAGAAGGTCTAGCAAGATAACATACTATTCAATACATGAACTTGCAGCATTCTTAATGTTTTATTCTTGTTATTGATGATAAAACTGCTGTCAGCCCCTGTTTTTCAATGTGTGAAAACTGGCGGAAGTGGGAGCCTAATTCAATCGGAAAATGATTCTCAAAATTGAATCGTAAAATTTTGTGCCTGTGAGCATTCTTGAAGCCCAGCTTCATTGTTCATTTTCATCATAGTGAAGGCATTTTGCGCACGTGATTTTTGTGAAAATTGATCCCATAATCTGTTACTGAGATTGCGATGGTGAAGGAGGCCGGATTCTACAAGATTCTTGGCATTCTTCCATTGTGCACTCCTGATGAGCTGAAGAAGGCGTATTGCAAAGCTGCGCTGAAATACCACCCCAACAAAAACCCCGCTGAACCGGAAAAGGTATGCTGCGTAGAATTTATTTAGCGACATACGTCTAATTCCGCATGAGCATTCTTGCAGTTCAAGTTGATCTCTCGACCTTACGAGGTACTGTCAGACCCAGAAAAACGTAGGATCTACGATGAAGGAGGGGAATCAGCTATATTTATTTTAAGAATGTGTTTTTATATGTGCACTGTTGTTTGTCCCTGAGAGTCTCTCTCAATTTTACCCTGGCAAAGCAATGCAGTTCAAGTCACTCAATGAAACCGGCTGATGGCTCTGGGTGAGACTGGCGCTCCTAGGGGTGGCGTGGAAGAGGAAGCCCTGAAAGGAGCTGCGTTGAGTGGAAGCTGTACCATAACGTCGTGCCACGATGTTCCTGCTCACAACTCCCCTTCATAGCACCGTTTTTGCTCTGCATTTAGTTTATTAGTGTTTAAGGACTGATGCAAAAATTCTTTCATCCTTGGTTTATAGTGTTCAATAAGTAGAACCAAACACTTCTATAGCAGCGCAAAAATGGGTGTCAAGGTACGCAAGATTATTCTGATTTGAATTTCACATAAGCATTTATGGTGAAATTGTGATTCATGCCTTAGATTTCTATGCGCAGAAATTAACTAGCAAAAGTAAATTACTGTACTGGGATTCATGAAGCAATCTGCATATTATTCAAGAAATATTGTCTTTATTTGGTTAATATAGGTTTAGCGAGTTAACTCCGTTTTTTGCCCAGTAAAAATTATTGATGGAAAGAAACAATTGTAGTCTTTTGAAGCAGTACACATTTTCAATCTTCATGCTGTGGAATTTGGAAGAGCTCCGCGCCTCCTTAGACTCCTGCACATATGATTTGATTCTTTGCCTAGGTACTGTATTTTGTTACAATATTCTTTTTGAAAGAATAATTAAAATTTTGAAATACTGATAAGTTGAGTGAAAACGTAAAAATATTTAAGCCTGCTTTTCGAAGCAATGATGCCAGATAGTTCCTCTGACCATGAAGCTCGAACTCAGCCCGCTGGTGTTTCTGCTGTGACACTCAATGACGCTACCATTCAAAACCCGTGAAAGTGCCTCAAAATTACTGTTTTTCCAAAAAAATAAAATGGATTCTCATGGGATTAAAAACTTGGGAAAAAATATTATCAATAAAGTTTTTCATGAAATCAAAATCCCACCTGTGAGAGATGTATTTTCTGTAATAGTTAGAATATGAATGGGAGTTAGTAAGGTGCGGTCTGTGTTTCTTCCCCAGGTCAGGAGGACCATACGACCGGAAGGCATTGGTCTATCTGCCTAAATTTGGCATGGGCAAGAAGCCTGAAATATTCTGCATGTATTTCCATAACGATTTCTTTAATAAATTTCAAATCCTTGAAAATTACACCTATTTTTCAGAGTGAACTTCATAAAATTCAGCAGCGAATCTACTCAAACACGCGTCTGGAATCCTGAATTCCAGCGTTTATGGATGGGTTTTAGATTTTCTTGGTAGAAAAAAGTGTCTTCTCAAGAATGAGACCATAGGTAATTTGATACGTAATGTGTGGGTCCAGAATTACAAAATTTTCTAAAATCATTTTAAGCCGCGCTGACGGATTGGATGCAATGGCGTCGTCCATGTTCCAGCAAGCAGAGGTGCTTGCGATGCCGTCCGCCATTAAGTTATATAGTTTACCGCAGCTGACTTTCCTGATGGAGCTCAGTTCTTCCCGAGGTACTCATACCAGAGGAAGAAATGCGACGTAGGAACAAAAGATGCGGGAAGAATTCAAATTTTGAAACTAGTTTATGACTGTTGAAAGTCCCATTTTACTCATTTATTCGTACACTGCGTCGTTGAGATTCGGTGTCAAACACATTATACAGTAGCTTAATTCCCATTTTGAAATTCTTTACGTTAATTAGTGTAGCAACGATTGGGGTTTTACAGGTCATGCGTTTGGAGAAATTCTCAGTAATCATTAAGTTGCGATTATGTATTCGTACAGATGTCGACATTTCGAATTGACTCGTTATAATGATTTCCATTTGTCATTGACTGAAGTTCAGATAATTTCTTCGGTTATTTCCGATCATCTTCAAGTTTCACCTGCTGCATAAATTGCCGTGCATGTACTGCCAGAATCGCCAAGCTGACCCATGTGGCGAATCCCATCTTATTGTGTAAAAAAAAATAAAAAAATTTGACGGGCCTCCTCCTTATACGAGTTAAAATGCTACACTTTCTTAACAATCGAAAAGACTTCAAATATGTTGTTGAGTCACGATAAATTGATTAAAATATCTACTAGCAATTGTTCTGGAAATTGAGACGGATACGATGCCATTAAACTTGAAGATCCATTTCTTGTGAACCATTCAGGCATGCTCACGCTCTAATGCTGGTCATCTTTCCGTGTCGCCAAGCTATATACAGCAGTATAGTCAATATCATCACGGATGATTTTTAGCATCAAAATGTTGAATCTGATTACATCATACCCTTAATGCGATTATCAGTAGATTTGGCATTATTCATCTGAACTTATATTTTTTTATTCCTTCCGGGGAATAAACACTAAATTAAGAAACTTATCATCATATTTATGATTATCGCAGTCAGGAACAATTGAGAAACGTCATCTTCAACTTGAATGGGAAAATCGGTTTGGTGCAGATGAAATATAAGCATAGAGGACGCTCCCGGCCGCAGTCAACTTCGACCTCCTCGGGCGCGCCCTCCTGACGGGGCATGATGACTCCCGCCGTGAGTTTTCGATTGAGAACAGTCGAACGGTGAAAAACTGCTCTGAAAAGTCATATGAAAATTGAACTACATGATCCGAGGAGGGTTGACTTTGTAAGAGAGGCTGCATTTTTCATCACAGGAGGGAATTGAACTTTGACTCGCAAGTCAGTTGGCTCTGGTACTACGTCCTTTGCTGATCTCCTGTCGGATCCAGTCGAGGTATTGGTCAACTCGTGTGTACAATCCAGGGAAGTTGCTGTTACCGCAGCCGAATCCTGCTGAAACTATGCCAACAACTGTGCTTCGACCGTTGTTTCTCAGCAACAGAGGACCACCCGAATCACCCTTGAAAGCAGAATGAAGTTTTAGTGCACGGTAGATTATAATAATTGTTGATCACTGGAAATATTCAGCGCAGCAGATGGGGAAATACGCTTAGGCCTGCTGTAAATCATGACTGGTTGATTTTGGATGTAGCAATGGACATTCCTTCCTCCAATTGCCTGAAGTCGGACCTGTTATGTAACGTGCAGAGCCTATTGCCTATTAAAATCTCAACATCTCCGAGTATGGCAGCGTAATCATAGTCTTGAATCTCGTTTTGGAGCAGAAGAAGCTGCGCTCTGCAACGAGATTCTCTCCGCATACAGTATTTCGAATAAAGCTCTCGTTCACATACAAATATCAAAAGGCAAGAGACAACTTACATAAGAAAAGTAAAAAAAAAAAAATCGAACGATGATGAAAAAGCGACGATTACATTTCATCAGTACAAAAAACGAACCTTATACGCAGTTTACTCTCGCATGCAATTTTTAAGAGCAGGATAGTATCTGCATATACAGTATAGCTATAATGGAAATTTTTGGAGCACGTAATCTACGTGACAATAGCGAATTCCTAAAGACTCCAGTCACGAAGAAAAGTCCGATTTTGGCATCTGAGCATTCCTACTTATTATTATTTTTTCACTTCGAAGTTCTGCCGATGCCGTATTGATCTACTTATTCTTTTCATGATGCATTTTCCCCCGCGGATGCCATTATATTTTTGTTACAAAAAATCAATAAAAGTCCTTCCGATATAAGCTTATAGAGTTCATTTTCATGACGAACATATCAGAAAAGTTGAATGCTCTGCAGTGTATAATGCACAAGTTTGATATGAGAGAATAATGAGTCATATATATGCCAGTATAATAACTTACAGAGCAGGCATCTTTTCCTTCCTGTCCAGCGCAAAGCAGGCTGTTGTCGAAACCGTTCGGGTATCGAATGGCTGCACCGGCTCCGAGTACTGAATACTGTCTTTCGCAT